AATATGCTGACTATTACAATTATACGAAGAATACAATAAAGGGGTCGCTATTTCTATAAAATAATTATAAATCTCAAGAATACACATAATCAGTCCATCATTTTCGACCCTAATCGATTTTGTTGTTTTAACGATAATTTTCCAACCCATAATTTACAATAATTTTCATCAATTAACATCAGAGCTGCATCAGTTCTAAGGGTGTAGTGCTTAATCACCAGTACCAGTACTTGCCAAGTTATGCAGTACCAGTATGAGTAATTCAGTATCAGTACCAGTACTTGCAAAATCACTGCAGTACGTACTGCAATACCAGTACCAGTAATGCAGCTCTGATTAACATAGACTGCAAAGTGTTGGGCATTTTTGCAAAACCTGTTGGATCATCCGTATACATAAGAATGAAGAACTGTAATTCATTTATAGTAAAAATGTCATCAATATTAGTATTTATATTGTCTACAAAATCGCTCTCAAATAGAATGAAGAGCGGAGGAGAACTAGGATACACATCTGAGTTGAAAAATGCAGATCTAGCATATAACTTACACAAGACTTTAAAGCAGCCTTTCTCCAGATTCTTGCTTATGTTCATGATTTTTTGAAAGCATATAAAAAGGTAAAATATTTCAAAGTGAAAAAGAAAGTAATGTAAACATTGCACACTTCACTTACAACCCACACAATGTCGAGATTACAACGGGACGAGTTGACCATGGGACAACAATCACTTGACATCTTAAATCCTTGTACACATTCCAAATAATATACAAATATTTTAACTCTCAATTAAATAGTTTTTTGAACACATATTTATATATTCATTGCCTTCCAATTTGCCTCATTTTTAACTGATAAAATATTTTGATCACATATTATCTAAATCATGTCCGTAATTTGTATAAACGTACCCTCTTTTAAAATTAGTAACTTTATTTCTGTACCTCGAATGCAAGTTTTAAGTTAAAAAAAAGAAATGTGCCCTCCCTGTCTAACACTTGACTCATACTATTGGTAATTCTGTTATAGAAACTTGCCAAAAATGAAAGTGTTCAGTTATGGAAAAAAGTTAAAATAATGACCTATTACATTGCAGTTATAACCAATCAATATGTGAAATATAAAGACCTCGACCTGAGAACTAGTGACCCCATTATGACTAATCAATATATGAAATATGAAGACTTTGTGATAAAATGTTTTCAAGGTAAAGAGCGAAAACCATCCTGACATTTAAGGTATCTTTGACTTTGACCATTGACAAAGTTACCCCAAAATTACTTTGTGATGAATAGTTTTCAAAGCGGAAACCATTCTGACATTTAAGGGCTCTGTGACCTTAATCTTTGAAATAGTGACCCCAAAATCAATAAGGGTTATCTACTACATATGACCAATCAATAAATTAAATATGAAGACTTAGTTATCCAACGTTTTCAAGATAACAAGCGGAAACCATTCTGAATCAGGCACCAGTGCTCTTGACCTAGTTACCCGAAAACCAATATGGGATATCAACTAGTTATGGCCAATCAATGTGTGAAATATGATGGCTTTGTGATAAATAGTGTTCAATATAATGAGCGGAAACCATTCTGACATTTACGACATCTGTTACCTTGACCTTTGAACTAGTGACCAAAAATCAATGGGGTCATGTTCTACATATGACCAATCAATATGTAAAAAATAAAGATTCAGTAATAAATAGCTTTCAAGATAATGACCAGAATCCATTCTAACATTCAATGCCCCTGTAACCTTGACCTTTAACCTAGTGACCTAAAAAACAATCGGGGACATCAACTAAATATGACAAATCAGTGTGTGAAATATGATGACTTGGAGATAAAAGCTTTCAAGATAATAAGCGGAAACCATTCTAACATTCAAAGCCTCAGTGATCTTGACCTTTGACCTAGTGATCCAAAAATCGAAAATGGGGATCATTTACTAGTTATGGCCAATCAGTATTTGAAATATGGAGACTTTGTGATGAATAGCTTTCAAAATAATGAGCGGAAACCATTCTTACCTTCAAGGTCACTGGGAACTTTACCATCGATAGGGGCCATTTATTAATCCTGACCAATCAATATTTGAAAAATGAAGACTTTGTGACAAATTGTTTTCAACATAATGAGCGGAAAAAAATCTGACATTAAAGGCACCTGTAACCTTGACCTTTGACTTAGCGACCCAAAATCAATCAGGGTCATCTACTACAATTAACCAATCAATACGTAAAATATGAAGACTAAGTAATAAATAGCTTTGAAAATTATGAGCAGAAACCATTGTAACATTCATGTCCCCTGTGACCTTGACCTCTGACCTAGTGACCCCAAAATCAATATCATCTACTAGTTATTGTCAATTAGTGAGTGAAATATGAAGACTTTGTAACAAATAGCTTTCAAGATAATGAGCAGAAAACATTCTAACATTAAAGGCCTTTGTGACATTGACCTTAGACCAAGTGACTTCAAAATCATAAGGGCTCAACTAATAGACATGACTAATCAGTGGCTTAAAATATGAAGACTTTGTGGTGAATGGTTTTTGAGATAATCAGCGGAAACCATGTGGTCTGCCTACAGACAGACAGACCGACCGACCGACTGATCGACAGACAGACAGCAAAAGAATATACCTCATCTTCTTCAAAGTGGGGGGGGGGGGTACACATATGCCGTCAATGTCTTTAAAGACAATATATATTAACATATTTGCACAATTTACGATTCCCATGCCAACATTTATTGTAAATACATGTATAATTCGCTTAATTATTATTTGTTCTATTTTCAAATCGATGATATAGTATCTGACTTCTTTCTTCTACTAAAAGCTTACATATATTTCAGGATCATTCTGTTGAAGGTTTTCTCCGAAGTGAACTAGAATTCTACAAATTTTTCCGGAATATCGACGCAGCATGGACAAGATGTTTGAAATATTAACGGGTCCCAGAGCCTCTAGAGAACAAGAACGAGAACAAGAACGAAAACGAGAAGAGGTAAAAAGCGTTTATTTGTGAAATACAAACGGATATTATGAGCTATGAATGCTATCTTTAAATAGATTCAGTCAGTTTATATGCAATGCATAGAAATGATTTCCTATTCTAACATGATACTGAGCAAAGAATGATGGGAAATGTGTGTTTACTTAGAAATGATATATCCGAGTAGCCCGAGTGATATAAGCGCATCCGAACGACACATAAAATATTCCATATAAATAATTAATTTAGTTGTGTATTTATTAATACACAAAATTCTTTTTTATTCTTTTCCGCCTGAAAACCAATTGAATAAATAATTATCTGGGACATGTTTGTAAAGCATGCATGGAACTCAAAATCGTTATTATCTGGACTGTACTGTCTCTTATGATGTTATTGTGTCCACCAATTTCAACTTATTTCAAATTATGGTTGGAGTAGCGATAATTTTAATTCGCTTTTTTTGAGCAATTGTGTAACGATTCGTTGCAATGTTAACAACAGAGGCCAATTCCTGCCATGCCAAACTCTTCGCGGCAATTAATTACGACCAAGCCGGAATTGCAAACCGAACTTCGGCTAAACTTAGAAAGCAGTTCCATATATATTTAGTCAAAAGATAAATCCGTGCCTGTATGCAGTTGGAGTACTGTCATCTTTTAATTAATCATTTTTGAAAATGACCGTTATTTATAAACGCCATATATATTCTATGTAAAGAGCGGATTTGAAACGCTTTTTTATTGCCTGATTTGTTTGTAGCACACATTTTGAAGACACGGATTACTTCGATTACATTAGATAAACTGTCCGAGACTATGCCAGGCATATGTGATAATGTTTCGATTGGTAACGATTCGCTCCAAAAGGAGTAAATTACTATACAAGTTTTTTAGAAATAGATCACTAACAAAAGAAAATTGAGAAGTCGACAGCGTATAAATGTTTAAACTGTTTATTTAGAGGACATATGGTGACAAGATGAATTTATAATTAACTCATAAACAGTTTTCTGATTGGATTTTGTGACAATAAATGTATTGTTCTTTGTAACATCCAATGCTTTTTGAACTATCTGAAGTAGTCAAAACATACATATTTATAAAATAAAATTGTAAATTATTCCTTTCTCACCGAATTCACATTTTTTACCTAATAAAAATTTTAAACTTCCATATAAGTATCGACTGTTAAACGATTAAAGTACTTATGAAAATATATAAAACTTTATAAAGTAAGCATTACCAGTAATTTATAATTATTGGCCGAGTAGACACAGACATGGCCTGACGAGTTGGTATAGGGCCCAGATGACCACGTTAGTTAAAGCCAGACGAACAAAATATTTCAATAAAATAAAACCTGAGAAAAATGTATTGATACTTTAGGAAAAGTAGAAATATTCAAGATTTTAGTAATAATTTACATGTTTTATGCGATTGATGATAGATTTTTCGGTATGTTTAAACATATTTCTACTGCGTTACTAACGCAGTAAAGGCTAGTTCCGAATATTTTGACCTCATTTTGGTAATTTACATGGGTTGTGAGTATTGTTTGTAATGTAAAGATTGGTTCATTTTGGTTACTTCACAATATTTTACTTATAAAAACGTTCAAAATTTTCATTAAAATAAGCATGAATCATGCTGCTTTAAACATTAAGGGGCCGGGTTGACCTTCGCTTGAAATCAATTGGGCCTAAAGGCTTAATTATTGAACTTTACTTATATTGTCATATTAAAATATGTTATTTGTTTATGGATCTGATTTATACTTTAACAAAAATAACACATTTGACAAAACCAACATAGTGAATTGGTGGCTCTTGTTTTATAAATAGACTAACCTGTATGAGCAAGTTGGCCCCATACAATGTTAAAATTTACTGAGAGTTTACAAGATTGGGGGCAAGGTGTGGACAAAAGGTACAGTTTCAGTCGCAAGTGTTCATGGATATTTAATCGATTGATTCAATCTGTTTACCACTCTCATTTTGTATCCATGACTTGCTCATATTGCAAGGAATAATTGTCATTTTTTTTCTATCCATTACAAAGATTACTCCTCTAAGTTACTTAGTTACTTGCTTACTCTTACTTACTTACTTACTTACCTACCCTACCCTACCCTACCCCTACCCCTACCCCTACCCCTACCCCTACCCTACCCTACCCTACCCTACCCTACCCTACCTACTTAACTTACTTACTTTACCTTACCTTGCCTTGCATTGCCTTGCCTTTGCTTTGCCTTTGCCTTTGCCTTTGCCTTGCCTTGCCTTGCCTTGCCTTACCTTACCTTACCTTACCTTACCTTACCTTACCTTACCTTACCTTACCTTACCTTACCTTACCTTACTTACTTATTTAACTTACTAACTTACTCTTACTTACTTACTCTTACTTACTTACTTACTCTTACTTACTTACTTACTTACTTACTTACTTACTTAACTTACTTACTTACTTACTTAACTTACTTACTTAACTTAACTTAACTTACTTACTTACTTACTTACTTACTTACTTACTTACTTACTCTTACTTACTTACTTATTACTTACTTACTTACTTACTTACTTACTTACTTACTTACTTAACTTACTTACTTACTTACTTACTTACTTACTTACTTACTTACTTACTTACTTACTTACTTAACTTACTTACTTACTTACTTACTTACTTACTTACTTACTTACTTACTTACTTACTTACTTAACTTACTTACTTACTTACTTACTTACTTACTTACTTAACTTACTTACTTACTTAACTTTACTTAACTTTACTTACTTACTTACTTACTTACTTACTTACTTACTTACTTACTTACTTACTTACTTACTTACTTACTCTTACTTACTTACTTACTTACTAACTCTTACTTACTTACTTACTTACTTACTTAACTTACTTACTTACTTACTTATTACTTACTTACTTAATCTTACTTACTTAACTTACTTAACTTACTTACTTACTTACTTACTTACTTACTTACTTACTTACTTACTTACTTACTTACTTACTTACTTACTTACTTACTTACTTACTTACTTACTTACTTACTTACTTACTTACTTACTTACTTACTTACTTACTTACTTACTTACTTACTTACTTACTTACTTACTTACTTACTTACTTACTTACTTACTTACTTACTTACTTACTTACTTACTTACTTACTTACTTACTTACTTACTTACTTACTTACTTACTTACTTACTTACTTACTTACTTACTTACTTACTTACTTACTTACTTACTTACTTACTTACTTACTTACTTACTTACTTACTTACTTACTTACTTACTTACTTACTTACTTACTTACTTACTTACTTACTTACTTACTTACTTACTTACTTACTTACTTACTTACTTACTTACTTACTTACTTACTTACTTACTTACTTACTTACTTACTTACTTACTTACTTACTTACTACTTACTTACTTACTTACTTACTTACTTACTTACTTACTTACTTACTTACTTACTTACTTACTTTACTTACTTACTTACTTACTTACTTACTTACTTACTTACTTACTTACTTACTTACTTACTTACTTACTTACTTACTTACTTACTTACTTACTTACTTACTTACTTACTTACTTACTTACTTACTTACTTACTTACTTACTTACTTACTTACTTACTTACTTACTTACTTACTTACTTACTTACTTACTTACTTACTTACTTACTTACTTACTTACTTACTTACTTACTTACTTACTTACTTACTTACTTACTTACTTACTTACTTACTTACTTACTTACTTACTTACTTACTTACTTACTTACTTACTTACTTACTTACTTACTTACTTACTTACTTACTTACTTACTTACTTACTTACTTACTTACTTACTTACTTACTTACTTACTTACTTACTTACTTACTTACTTACTTACTTACTTACTTACTTACTTACTTACTTACTTACTTACTTACTTACTTACTTACTTACTTACTTACTTACTTACTTACTTACTTACTTACTTACTTACTTACTTACTTACTTACTTACTTACTTACTTACTTACTTACTTACTTACTTACTTACTTACTTACTTACTTACTTACTTACTTACTTACTTACTTACTTACTTACTTACTTACTCTTACTTACTTACTTAACTTACTTACTCTTACTTACTTACTTATTAAACTTACTTACTTACTTAACTTAACTTAACCTAACTTAACTTACTTACTTTTACTTACTTACTCTTACTTACTTACTTAACTTACTTAACTTACTTACTTACTTACTTACTTACTTACTTACTTACTTACTCTTACTTACTTAACTTACTTAACTTAACTTAACTTAACTTAACTTAACTTAACTTAACTTAACTTAACTTAACTTAACTTAACTTAACTTAACTTAACTTAACTTAACTTACTTACTTACTTACTTACTTAATGATAAAGATAATATGATTCAGAAGATCACAATACATGTATATATCTTGCAGGACACTAACACTATGTAAAACTAAAAGAGAAGAAACTTTTAAAGATTGACATTTGAATTACTGAAAGCATAACTGTATTTAATTATATTGAAAAATGTATAATTTTTTGTTTTATAAAAAAATTTTTGTAGGGGCCGTGGGGGGCCCCGGGACTAAAAAATAATTCAAAAATGGTTTGAAACCCAGTCCAATGTAAGGGGTCCCTTTAAAAATTTAAACTTAAAGGGCCAGACCCCAAAACCCCAAATAAACTAAATATGATAAATGAGAGAAGGGGATGAAGGGAAAAGCCATATCAAAAGTTTTAAATTTCAACAAAATATTTTTAAAAAAAAACCTTTAAAAAAATTTTGTACATATAAAAATTTTTAAAATCGTTTATATCTGTGTTGTAATCTGTGTTCTTAAGGCATCAGTTTTAAAATTTTTTTGGTCAAATCTCGGTTATCATTTTTACCGGGTAAAAAATTTTATAAGAAAATAGATAAAAATAACTCATTAAATTTGG